ATTCACCCTCTTAGGCCAAAAGGGATCTACCGAACCTCTCTTGATTACACTCGTATTGGCCTCCGAAGACATAGACCTTAGAGTTCAATCTCATTGCTTCCAATTCAAAAATTCAACTAAGGCTAAATTATTAGATTCAGGTGTCCTTCATTTGCGATTTCGGTGTCGCTTTTACAATTCGCCCGGCCAGCTCTATCACCGTGCGTATCGTCGTTACTCGCGGTAGCACTTTCATAACGATTCAGGTGGATTGTCGTGGCGAGTCGTTCGACGACGGAACCATCTGCGTTCGAAAAGTCGGGACCGCGCGCGGCTGTATCCGCGAGAGCCGGCACGTGCGTATTTTCGCGCGAGGCGCAATTGCACCATCGCCGCCGCGGATGCTGCGAGAAAAGTGGTTAACTGTACAGACCGGCGGCGGTATTCGGCGATGCAGCTGCGTCATCTAACTGCAGAGAATCAGTTATGTGTAACAGTGACTGAGGGCTGTCAGGAGGCTTTTAGTAACGGTGGCGTCATATGGCTGACAGATCGATGCTGCGCGACGATTAATGGAGCCGGGGCACGATGCTGCTCGGAGTAGAACACGAAAGTAAGTTGCTGCGGCCGAGGGGAGGAAGTACCCCCCCCCCCCGCATTTCGTCGGTTTCTTCCGCGGATACGTTTAATCTACGGGTTAATTAGCCAGTTTGCCTGCAGCGAGATCTCTTATCTGTGCACTCTCTTATCGCTTTTCCTCGACCCGCCGCTAGTGAAAGGATTGCCGGATACGATCTTAAATGGGCTGCCAATTAATCAGCAGACAACTTAATAGATGTTCGATTAGCAGCTACTTTGAATATTTGGTCCTGAGCCATAATTGTGTGACTCGCGCATTTTTATTGTTAACAGCGTCAACGTATGCGCGGAAAATAGTTGGAAGGCTCGTATTAAGCTTTGCATTATTTTGCATCCAGCAGATAATTGGAAAGCTCAACTTTCTAGTGAAAAACTATTAAGAATATTCTTAAAGTCGCCAGCAGTAATTATAAATTAATAACATCGGTGATTTTTGTCGACCGTGTCTGGCAATTAAAATTCTTATTGCGAAAAATATTATCCCAGCCAGGATTCGAACCTGGGACCTCCCTACAATCCGCGACAAAGACGCCCGTCACGAATTGTAGGGAGGTCCCAGGTTCGAATCCTGGCTGGGGTAATATTTTTCGCAATAAGAATTTTAATTTCTATTGAAAATTTCAATGCGACGATAAGTATTTCGAATTTCAATACTCGTGTTATTCGCACTTTTACGTTGCTGTTACGAATCGGACTTTCTGGAGCGCATGGCAAGATTGTTTTTTCGAATCTCCTGAATCATTACGTAAGAACATCTCGTATTGTTGAAATTACTTCAATTCGCTCTCGTGCCGATCGTACGTTTCCAATGCGAAGTTTTTCTCTCTGCGACGGAGGAGAAAACGATCCGCGGCGCGGTGGAATGGCCTGAAAAGTTATGTGCAAGAATAATAGAGGTCTTTTCTCCCGCGCGCGCGCGTACGATTTTTACGCTTCTGGAGTCGTTGAAGAATTACAGAGATCCGCCGCGAGAAGACAATGGCGAGCCTGGAAGCGGTTATATCACGTATTTCGTATTCCCGTTTAATTCCGATGGAATAACTCATGCCCGCTTGCTATGCATGCTTTCTAATTTCCTCGATGCAAATCCACATCCGCTCGGATGCAACGCATCGCCACCGGGAGGCCTCGGCGGCACGGCCTGCGCGCGCTCGCACGGAGGAAAAACGCTCGGCCAGTCAACCAGGAAACGAGCGGCGGGACGAGCGCGAATTCAAGAGTAAGAGTCGCGCTGTTAAACGCCCGATGACACCGGTTGTAAAATGCCGATCGTAGCGGACGGTAAAAGGTGTATAAAAATGGTGAAAGTCGCTGGCGGCCGCTCGCAATTCATGTGATATACGCTGCCGCGGCTGTTCTACGGCGGCCGTGCCGAAGAGCACACCATATCGGACGAAGATATAATGAGAGGTCTCTCGAAAGAAAGCAAGAACGAACTGTACTTCACTAGAAAGCTGCGTGTGATACGCGTTTCAACTCTCGAACAATGAAATAGCACTTTGCGAATGTCAAAAGCCAGTAATGTTATTGACTTTTTCACGTCACCGGGGACCAAGTTGTTAATATATGACTTTTTGCGCAAAAGCGGGCACAACAATGTGCCGTGGCGTTCGTCTGAATATTATAACAAAGCGGACATAACAAATCAACGATACGTGCAGATATTATTGACAACTGGAATCCCCGAATCGAGTATTTGGTTTCGGGATGGGCCTCAATTATTCTATTGTCTTCATTTGGACCTCGGAGTTTGACACTTGAATTTAAGACCCAGATGAGTAAAAAGAATTTCGTTTAACCTCATTTTATCCCTCAAGGAGAATGTAATAAAATATACTTGGAGAAGGTGGATCGCCAGTGGGTGAAGAAAAATAACAAAAAGATGATGATGTCGACGATAACTGGCACATATATTTATTTAAAACACTACGTTTCGACTAGTAATACTAGTCCTTTTCAAGTAATAGCCCATTAAATGTGGCAGCAAGAAATCTATAAATTATAAATTAAGTGTTCGGAAATGTATATAAGATATTATCGCACAGAGAAAACAACTTAATACTTACGGGTGACATATTGAGCGTACGCTTTATAAAGAGGCGCAGTAAATTAATATGC